GCCTCTGCTGATGTTTTTGCTGCCTCTGTGCATGATCTGGATGATGCACTTCACTACCAGTGTTTGCTACATGCACGCTGCCCTCCTCCCTGCTCCCGTAATACCCACTCCCATGCCCGACCTGTTGTGTACCTCCCGTGACACTGTGCTCCACCTTTTTCTCCAAAGGCCAGCTGCTAACTGGGCCGAGTGCTCCCGTGCTCGGCTGGTGCACCCCTGACTGCACGTGTGTGGGTGCTTGGTGCATCCTGGGCTGTGACCAGTGCACCAACTGGGTGTAGCTACCATGCTGCCACTGTCTTGCCACTGGTTCATGCTCCTCAGAATGGTAAGGCTGCTGGTTGTACTTCAGGTCATCGTGCCGATGGAGGTCGGCCTTTGAAGCATGAGTCTTGGGTGGAGCAGGGTGAACAGACCGGGGAAGGGGCGGGGGAAGGTGGGGCAATGGGGGAGACTGTTGTGGTGCAGGAGGAGGGGGGATGGGGTTACTCTGAGCGGAGGAGCGAGTTACAGGTAGGGACGAGGAAGGAGTAAACGATGAGGACGAGGAAGATGAGGAAGCTTGACACCTGCAGCTGACGTGATCTTCCACTGAGATGATGGCTTTGTCGTAATGAGCTTTCCTGTTTATGTATTGGATCTTTGTCACCTGGGAAAGAGGCAAAAAGAACAAAAGCATTAGCAATGAGTAAATCCAGACATGATGGAAAAGCCAACAAAATCAATCAGCAAATCATTCTGACTTTTTTGTAGGTAAAAAGCAGTAGGTATGTGGTGAGATGTGTTATGAAACAAGTCACAAATCTGATTGGCTGTGGACATATCCAGACAAGCTAATAAGTCTATGAAATGTGGTGACCCTCAGTCAAGACTTGCCTTTTCCATATCATTTCCTAAAAAAGAAACATAGACATACCTGTTCTCAAAGTTAAATCATGCATGAAATCAGATTATGGCATTTTCTGCAATGTCTGCCCAAGCATGTAAATCCTAAATGAAGCAATAACATTAAGATGTCTACACAGAGCTTTAGGAAGCATCTGAGCCTTCATGTTACTTTGACCTGGCAGCCAAAGTGGTTAAAATAGTACCATTACTCCATAACACAAATATATACATATATATAAACTGATGTTGAAAGCAGATAACTGCGTCCTACTGTTCGCTGCATGAATTACATGAGCCAAATTTTGCCCAGGCACTTCAGAGGAAAATGAACTAAATCGAACATGTTTTGTTTTAAGATATATATTGATGCCTCTCTTACTCTGTGCAGTAAATTTATAAATATGTAGCTGGAGCCTATTAGTTTGGCTTAGGAAAAAGACTGAAAACATGAGGAAACTGTTAGCCTGGTTCTGCCCAGTAATTTAAAAAATTCACAAAACCAGTTTTTAATGAGGGGTTATGTGCGAGCCAGGAGTGGTAACAAATGAAATATTACATATTAAGTAGTGAGCTTTAGATGTGTTGTTAGGTGAATTTTAACAGTACTTAGGATAGAGCCAGGCTACCTGTTTCCTCCTGTGTACAGTCTTTGTGCTAAGCTAATCAGAATACAAGCGTATTGATCTTCACATTTTAGCAAGAAAGCAAATAAGTGTGTTTTCAAAAATGGTAAACTTTTCTTTTGGAGAGAAGAACACTGTAAAAATGATAATATAAAATGACCATATCATCATGATATTCTAATGAAAGTCAATACTATACTAAAGTGAACAGCTGTTGCTGATTTAACTACCAGCATTTGGTGTCACGGTGCGGAAGCTCTTCACAGCTACTGTACAGAATCATAAAGTCATGTGACCATTGGCAGCGTTATGCTCCGTGTACCTGCAGGTATCTGCTGGAGGTGACAGTGGGGAAACACTGGTGCAGCCTTGAGTTGCAGCAGCCTGAACACCTCTGCACCTCTACGCAGGACGGCCACAGCACAAAGTTAGCATTGCGGCGGTCCACCATGGACCTCACAACCTCCATCACCTCTGTCCGAACTTTACAGGCCGCCTGCTGGGCTACCTGTGCCTCCACGGCTAGGGGAGGTGAGGGAGACAACAATGTAGGATATTTGGTAAGAAGTGATGAGAAGTGATGAGACAGATGGCAGAAACAAACAGACAGGAAGGGACACAAGCACATGTGGAAACCTACCAAGGCTTCTAGCGTACCGGCCATGGGTGTGGTTTGTGTGAATATCATGCTCGTCTTCTTCCTCTTCTACAGAAACAGATAAGGGAGGAGAGGAGATGGATGGATGAGACAAAAACAATTAGGGAATTAATCAATTCAGCTTAATGTTTTCCACCTTTTATCTGAAACTGGACAACACTGAGGCACCACTTTTACAAGCGATGGCAAAAATGTGTAGAACATGCTGTTAGGGCAGTTTTTAGCCAAACTCATTGTTCACTGCACAAAGGAAGCCATTTTTTCTCCTCCCGCTAAAACAATTAGGCTATTTTCTGCCACAATTTGTCTCACTGCTGTCAAGAATACTGTTGAGGAGAGATATGAGTTGTTATATATAGCTCATGTGTCGGTCTGTGAGTGTGCACATTTGCACTCTCACATATGTCATCATTTCATACTGTAGCCCCTTACTCCTAATTATATCCCTGGTGCAGATTGCCTTTGGGCAGTGTGCATGTGTGTGTGTGTGTGTGTAAGTGCAATGCACAAGGGCACAAGGTGTCATATGATAGTTTTTTTTTTAGGCCTAATTAAGTGGCTGGTGCAGAAAGAGAGCAGTTTCTTATCTGGTTTGTCTAAATATTTTGATTCTGTGATGCATTTAATTCTGTTTCGAGCATGGATCGGGCTGTCTGACTGACCAACACTGCCATCCACAGAGCTCTGCAGCCAGCGTGGCTAAAACCACAAAAACAAAATTAGCATAAAAGCTGAAACAATTGAACACAAACAGAACTTAGCAGCATGAAAAACCCGATGGCAACAAGAAGATAGTTAAAATGAAACATTCATGTACTGCCTGAAGTCTGAAATACAACCGAGACCACTGAGAAACTTTAAATAGGCTTCATTTTTGAATCCAGATAAACACATACACTAAGTCATTTCCTCGTGCCCCTGTTTCTGAGCATCCTTCCCTCTGCTGCTTCCCCTCCAGGGTCGCTGTCATGTCACAGTGTTATTTATGCATTATAGAATGATCAGAGGGCCTTCTATTAATATATGTATGTGTGACTCGGCTCCTCAGAAGGATACGTTTATAAAGAATTTTTTAATCGCCCGCTCAGCTGTGTGTGCATGTGTCTGACTGTGTGCACTAGTTTGTTTGGACTCTGTGTGGAGGCGGAGGCGTACAGAGGGTAAGGTCTCCTTCTGTCACACAAACACACACATCCATATTTCAAAACCTGGAGTGGAATCCAGAGCACGTGAACAATGTAGCGACCTTGTGCTCTAAGTTTCTCTCTCTCTCTTTCTCTGTTTCAGTTTGTCTAACACACCCCAAGGTCACAGCTATTCTGTTTCTGTCTCTCTCATCAAGTTGTTCATCAGTCTCGCTGCTGTCTCGGGTAAATAGTGCTTTAACGTAGCGCTTAGCGTGTGCACTGACATGCTTGCTTACTACATTCCTGTCTCTTCAGGCCTCTGTGGATCCACCCACATGCTCACCTCCCCCATGTCTGTGTTGTTAGAGTGCGTGTGTGGTCATTAGTACCTATTGCATTGGTCTCCTGCTGTAGCAGCACCTTCAGGTCTTCCACAGAGGAGATGGGAGAGTTCCCCACCAGGTCGACCAGCGACGGAGGGAGAGGATCGCCCTGTGGAGACAGACACATTGTGTTGTTTCCTACTGTGGAAGCACAGTGTTTTCGAGGAATGCCAACAATGTTCTGGAATCAGTTATAGTAAATATTTATAAATCACCAGCTATGTCTTATTTTGAAGGCTTTACCAAATGTAGCTGAAAAATGCAGCCTACTTCAGCCAGACCTTTTATGTGAAACCTCCAGTATCTCATAATCCATGTTCACCATCATCCATGGCAAAATGGAGCATTCAGGTGATTTCAGTTGACTTGTAAAGTCAGAAAAAGAGTTGGAGACCATGTATTTGTGTGAGGAAGAGCAGCGACATGTACAATGTGTTACAATGGCTTCTTGTATCTTCTGATAATTAGTATTGTCGACTGATTTTATTAATTATTTCAGAATGCTGTCAAAAAGGCATTTTGACTCAATAAGAAATGAACAACAGCAGCAAAGCAACCCAAGCCATGAGACACACAGAGAAAGAGAGCTGATGTATAATATCTCAGTCCTCCATCTTCAGTCAACACTTGCTCCAGTTTCACTTCCTCCTGCAGAGGAAATCATGGTTGTGATTGGTGTTTGCTGCTGCTGTTCTCACTCTCTACACGTCTGTTTACCCACAAACACCGCTGTTACTCCGGGTGTAACGCAGGAAATTAGCCTCTCTTTTCCTTTCTGTCTATCTGTCTCGACCATTCTTGTTATTTCAGTTCAGCTAAAGTTCAGTTTATCATATTTTAGCACCAACGTATTAAGAAACAGATCAATGGTTTGTTAACTTATCTTACACTTAAAGTAATATAATTATCACTCAAGAAAAGAGAAGGAATGTTATATTTAATGATCTTTTAGTGGATGCCACTGCTGGAATTCATTATGGATCCAGTCTGGCTGTTTTTAAGGAAACACTCCTGCAGTTTCTTTATCGAGATCAAAGGCAGATTAGTTTTCAGTGTCACATTTTGCTTTGGTTGGCCGTAAGTCGATCCCATCTCACAGCAGCTGGACCAGCATTTGATGCATTCACATGCCACAAAGATGCCAAAGCAAATTAAGGAGTGTTAAGAATATGAGAGGAAAGAATTCTGGATTACTCTCTGAGGTGTTAGGACTCTTAATCCTGCAAACACAGATGGAGAATTTATACAGTTCAATGCAAAATCATTGCCGTGCTGTTCTATAAAGGTTGTCTAGAAATTTCTGAAGTGCTTTCCTACTAACATTTTATAAACTGTACTTAGGAGTGTAGATGTCTCCACACTGATTTGGAGGACTTTTTTTGCTTTAATTCAAGTTTTCTGGTGCGTTTGTGATTTATTTGTCTGAATGTAAAACCTCTCATTTGTGATCAGCCGTATTCAACAAAAAAAATCTGTAACATTAGTCCAAACCAAACAGTAACTTAAACCAAACCTTCATTCCTCTAACATTCAAACCAGGTTTCTACTGCACTCTCTCCCCACGTGCTAAGACCTAATGTAGTTACTGTTTATCCAGACTGGGTTGTACTGATAATTAACTGCACCTGAACCCAGCAGCAACCTGTTAAAGTTGACATTAATCTTTGAGAGGTAAAATCAAGGCTGGATAATCTGTGGTTGTAGGAGTAGACACTGTACAATACATTCAGGCTATAGCCTAACCAGCCAGTTAATAAATGATGGAGGTGAGAATCATTTTTACTCAGCAGCTTCTGGGGCAAATGTCTGTTCATAAATCTAAAAAGAAAACATCTCAGTAAAATATTTAAAGGACACTGTCCAACTGACAAGTACCAAATCAGAGTAGCTCTCACTGAACGTGAGGAAGTAACTTGATTTGTCAGTAATTTCACTGCCCAGTACACTTGAGACTGCAGTACACAATGATGTGAGAGAAGGTTTCATCCATAGTTCCCACTTCTACAAGACAGTGTAGTTAAGTATTGGTGTTCATGCATCCAGACAAGTCAAACCTTTCCAGGATGTGACGTCTTCAAATAAGAAAAAGTGCAACATTTTTATATTTCTGAAAGTATAGTTTTATTTTTGTTCATAGTTTGGATGTTTTGCAAAGGATGATCACCAGCTGGAGTGTCCAACCTTTTTGTACACCTGTACCAGATTCAAACCGAATTTAGTATGATTAGAAAAATACTGTTCATTTCTCATTTTCTATTCCCTTTCTTCTTGTCTTTCTCTCCTCCTTTTCTCCCTCTGTCTGTCTGCTTTGTGGGCGGCGGTGGCTCAGGACACCTGGATGACTTTCACAAGCCACTGGCTGACCTAGTTAAGCAAACACACGCACACACACTCGCCCCCTCTTTTCCAGTTCACATACAGATGCTTAACCACTTAACTGTCTGCCCAAATTGCCCAGAGAACCTCACACACACACACTTATTCACATACAGTTTTAGTTACAGAGGCAGTTTTCGCTCTGCAACAAGCTATCATCACAGTCCTAGTGTTGGTCGCACACACACACACACACACACACACACTGTAAATTAGAGCGTGGGACAGACAGGAAACAGTTCCTCACATGAACATACAACAAACTGCTGGTTTAAAAAAAGGACCAAGAATTGGACAACAAGCTAATAATAGTGGCTTGAGCAGAAGAGCTAAATTATACAGGCACTAATGTGACACTAACTTCTTTATTTGTGACCTAACACACACAAACTAGACCTCTCTGGTTTGTAGTGACGCCTTTTATACTCAGGGTTGGTACTGAAACATGGACGTTTTTCATATCGTAGGCTGCATGAGTGTGTGTAGTTAGGCTGTTGGGTCTGTCAGGTAGGATGTCATGATCTGAAAGCAGGTTCACACACACACACACACACACACACACTGCACAAGGACTTGGAAGAAGCCTGGAAGGCAGAAAGATTGTGTGGAATGTTTGAGGAGAAAGGTGAAGCACACAAACACGCATCCATGCACAGAAACACATATACAAACATGCAGTCAACAGAAGTGCAGACTGTGTGAGAAAAAGTAAACACACAAAATCTGAATCCCACTGAAAGTGTGTGAGGAGTGAGTCATACTCGCACCATGCTGTCACAGCACATGCCGTCTTTTATCGGCGATATGGCCGATGGCCAACACAGTGTCTCATAATCTCACGGAGTTCGGTGGGCACTCGCGCTTACACACACATAAACATATGCACATACACCAGCAGTACAGATATAGATTCCCTCTTGGGAATGGATGATGGATGGAAAGATGAGAGAGGATGGAGCAGAAATCAGAGTAGAGGAGAAGAAAAAGGGCTTGAGGGCTGGTAATGTAAAAGAAAATATTTATTAGCTAACAACAGTTATTTTTGAGCAATTGTAAGCACAAAATGCATTAAAGCAACCTAAAGTAATCTTGAGCAGGGTGAAAACATCTCTTTATATGAACTTTTAAATTTGATAATTTCTTATTTCATCGCACATTTGTTGGACATTCCCCCAGCATAACATTTAAGGACATGTAGCCACTGAAATAGCTCGATTCAATTTCTTTAGACGTAGGCTACAGACCGACCACCATGAAAAACAGAAGAGGCTGGGGATGTTGGGAGGGCGGTGCACGTTTTCAGACAATCGTTGTTAATAGACATTAACCATTAACATGGGCTGCTGAGGAGAACAGCTCTACAAGGTGACATCAGAAGTGTCACAGATTGTTGTGTAATAAATGAAAAGAAGCACCAGACAGATGTGCAACCAGCCAGTCAAGGAGTGAAGCAGATGTGAATGTTGCATCCTTGGCTGAGAAAATGACAAAAAACAAGATCACACAACTATTGTGCACATGCTTAAATTCTGAGATTCTACTTTTCTTACTTTTCAACATCTGCACAAGTGTCGTTGGAATTCTGCCTGGGTCTGCTGATTAGGCACGAATTTGATACGTCTCTTTTCAAGCAAACTACTTTTTAAAAGCACATTAACTAAGATTTTACATATTGTCTGATAAATCTAGTGAAAATGGGACAGAACGTTGTCGCTCTCTGCTATGGTACCCTCCTCCGTCACACTCTGCTGCTCGCTGCACTTCTGTTGTTATTGCAGCTTCTCTGCTGTGTGTTGTCAGAGTACGGTCCGTATCTGAGTCCCGCCTGCCACCTAGCAGCCCAGTCTCACATCAACATATATAATAGCTACTCGTATGTACTACAGTGCGTACTAGTCTCACAATAACGTCTCCAAAATAGTGACATTGCAGTGTTTTTCTGGATTAAAAATTGTGACATGGGAACATCTTTCTAGAAGCGAAAATGAAAGAAAATGGCCAAGACACCTCATACTTGGTTACATTTAGGCACAGAAACTAAATGGTTTGGTGTTAGGAGAAGCTCCTTTCAGTGAAAACACTCTCAAATGAAAAGTCACTCCAGCTGTCTGTGTGAAAGTCAGGAGCTTGTTGGACCTACCTTCCTAGTGTTTTTAATGTTCTGTAGTTCATAATGTTAGCTTCCCGATCCACACTCCAGTCCAGATGGGGGTGGTAAAGCACCATTTTGTTGTTGGCCAACAATCACAAAACATCGAGGAAAAAGAGCATGAAGGAGGACACTGGGCTGCAATATAAGAACACTGGTGCTTCACAATATTACAGCCGGTGTAGTGACACCAGTACGTTTTACGCTGTGGACCAACGTAAATATACTACATTGTCACGTGAGACTGGGCTGCATGTAAAGAAGGTTATAAGAAGCACTTTTCAAGTCAGTGGGCATTTTAAACAGCCTGTGTTGCTTGTTAGTCGGGTAACCCTAGCTTCAGATTGCAGGCTGCATGGGAGGGCCAAGGAGCGGTTGGGAGCAGCGTATGTTGTCAGTTTGTTTTTGAGTCTCACTAGACCCTCTAGGCTGAAAAGAAATGAGCAATGAGCACCTTTAAGCAAAAATACCAAACATTCTATAATTCCAGTTTCTCAGTGGTTTGCTGCTTTCGGTGTCTTATGGAAAACCAAATACTGTATCTTAAATCTCAGCATTTTGGACTCTTAGCCAAACAAAATAAGCAATTTGGTGTCATCACTTTGGGCTTTAAGAAATTTAATAGACATAATAGTGTATCGGTTGGAAATTGGTGTTAGCTGCAGCCCTACACATCACAACAGGTTGCAGCACAAGAACAGTGACATTTCAGACAGCAGCTCAGGCTTCTTCTGAAATGTAATAAAGTCATGACCACATGTGCAAACCTTCCAAATAATTTGATAAAAACAAACAAATAAAGCGCCTCCTTTTCAGTGTCTAACGAATTTGAGACAAGCTGCTTCCACAGCTCTGATACTGACCAACCTTTTGTATTTCTAACCTTTTTACCAAGTGGTTCTGTTATTTTGATGATGATGATGATCTGCTACTCTCACTGTAGCATTTATAAATATTATTCCTATTATTTCCAACTCAACTAGATTTTGCTCCACTTGGTGCTTACAAATTAATATTCTTATGTGCCACTACGCTTTTCTGTCCGACCCACAAGGGCATAACCACACAAAACCCCAAGCACATATGTTCATACAGCTACACCCAGTCATGCACCCAGATGTGTGCACACACAAATACACACACTGCTACATGGCAGACAGTCTGCAAAATCCCTGGCAGATTAGTTGTTGTTCTTATGTAAAATGCTGGGCAGCAGTAAATCTTCCCAGCCCGCTCACGGAAACATTAATCAAACAACAACCTTTGCAGAAGTCGCCAGTCAGCTGTGTGTGTGTGTGTGTGTGTGTGTGTGTGTGTCTCATTGTTTTTGTGTTGATTTAACAGTTGTGATTTGAACACCAGTTGAAAAAAGTGAGGCCTGAGATAATGTGAGTGCTTCTGTGTGTTTGACTCCATTTCTGTTTAAATTGATTTACAAATGACCCGCGACAACTCTCGACTCCATTTCTGTTTAAATGGATTTACAAATGACCCGCGACAACTCTCAGTGTGCATACGTATTCATGCATGTGTGTGTCTTTGACAACACATAGTGTAAATGTCAAGGTCTGACTGGATTACTCACAGACATGGCAGATACACAATAAACAAAAAAGTATCTTTCCCTCATAAATTATATCGGTGTTTTCAAATGTACTTATTATGTCAGCGTTAGTGAACCTGTAGTGACTTGACCGAATGTTCTCGATGTGATGTGTGTGTGAGTCAGACAGATGTGCAAAACTAAGACGTCAAAGATGTCTCCATTTTTTTCTTCACTGGACTAAGCGCTGTGACACGATCAGGATGACTGTCACAGAGTCTCAGCTGCACTTGCACATCGACCTGCTGTATCACACTTACATCACATAGCAGGTCAGTGTTCATTAAAATAAATAGAGAACGATGTGACATGTTCAAAGTGCTGCGGTGCCTTCAGCTGCAGCAGCTCGTGCACAAAAAGCTGAGGATACTAACAGTTTCTCTGATGAAGACTACAGAGCAGCAGGTTTGACAAGTTAACAGCCAGTTTCCACCCATTGACCAAAGATTCATGATGCTGTGCCTCTGGGGCAAAGATTATGTGAGATTCCAATCTTATGACAATGAGAGAAAGTGGTAAGAAGCAAAAGAGCAGCCAAACTAAATATGCAGCACACGGGACCTACCCAAAAACACAGGTAAACTTTCCACCTGTAGCATCTCAAAAACAAACACAGAGTAAACAGAGACGCTCTCACTGGACAGTCTTTGTTTGCAGTGGATGTTTAAGGTTTGTGACACCACAGAATGATAAGCCTTTTCTTATCAACAGTTGAATTTGGCTTCTGAAAACCCTAATAATTATTATTAGTCACTGAGAATAAGTTTCGCCTTTCCCATGGAGGTGGCACGTCAGGTCGTACTGCACGTGTAGTGTTTGGAAGACAGCCATTTTTATTTTGTGAAAGCAGATGTGCAGCCAGCTCGCTGTGATCACTACAAAACAAGTTATTGCTAGGTCATCTGAAATCTCATCCACATGACCAACTAGTGCTGGAGGGGGAGCGTGACCAAATAAGGCCTGTGGGCCATTTCATAAGAAACAGTTACTAAGTTCTTTATGTTAAATATCCATGTCAAGATGAGATGCTCAAGTACAAAAGATTCACTGTCACCGAACAAAACCAAGGCCTCCATTCATAGGCGTTACAGTGTTGGGGATAATTTGGACCAACATTTTTGTCAACATATGGCATCCAACTGGTATTTCCTCTTTTCTACACTACAAGTGTCTGCTGGAAACATGAGACTTAATGGGGTAATTATTTAAATTGCTCTAAAAGAATATGTTTTTGAGAAAACTGCTGTCATTGGTGGAGTGACAGCAGTTTTATACTGTGACAGTGAAAATGGCGGCTGGGCTCATGGGTGGATTTTGGCTCCAGCTTTGTATGATAGGTTAACTCCTGCTGCTTGGCCACCAGCCAAGGCCCTGCCTCACCCCCTCTCTCCCTCCCTTTGTAATACTGTGACTCTTCTTTGCTACACTTCAGGTGAATTACTCTCTTGAAACTTGAAAAGGAACTGGACACATAAAACAGATCCCACAGAGTCAGGGAGGGAAAGCTCAATAGACTGATATACAGGCTGTCACACACATATGATAGTGTTCTTTGTCTTGCAGTTAAACTGTTATAGAAAACATCCAGCCCAAAGTTAGCAAAATCACCTCAAGGCATATGATGTATGTTAAAAGCTCCTGACAAGTAACAGAAATTCTAACCAGTTGAGATACCGCGCCATCCCATCCATCACTGGTTTGAGTCAGAACATGAACTCACAATGTTGTTTTCTTCTTTTCTATTAGGAACATGGGACTTGGTAGCAGGCTATATTTAGTATTTAAGAAATCTAGGCACAGAGAAAGATGCCAATAACACCAGCCCCAATTAGAGCATTTGGATGTTATGAAGCCCCAGATAATAATAATCTTCTCCATCTTTCTTTTCCATTCTGTCTCATATTCTTCTAACTTCACCAACTATAGTTCTTTACACATAGTGTAGACACAAACATACATATTCGGATCACCAAATTAAAATTTAACTTAAGTTGGGTGTATCATCAACATATTTTATTGAACTACTGCATCATTAATGCCTGCAAAAACAATGGTTTGTAGGCTGCCATTAAGTACAACTGTACGATATTAATGAGTTCATAACATCAAGTGTTACTTTCACCCATAAGAGGGTCATGCTGTGTATTTTCTGGCAGATCCCGCTCTTACCTCAGCGTTGCAGAGCTGCAGACGGGCCGCTGAGAGCGCAGCCAGCAGCAGCAGGACCCAGGACCTCATGTTGCCGCCCAGCCTGAGGAGCCGCAAGCGACCGGCTGGGCATTTAGGACCTCGGCGTCCAATACCCCGGCTGCACAGAGCCTCGTCCCGGTGTCGTGTGTTAGTCGCTTGTGCAAAACACGCACTGTTAAATATCCCCAAAATGTGTCACTGCCTATAAACCCTGTTTGTCCAAATGTTTGCTCATGGTGACTCACAGGCAGGCGAGACGTCTGGCTCTGTTCATTACGCTGTTCAGAAAAGTCACAAAAGGAAACGTTAAGGGAACTATGGGACAGGTGCGTAATGCAGGGTATTATGATTGACGAAGGCTACGGCAGCACAGTTCCCATATCAGTCTGCAGTATACGCGCGAGTCTCCGCTGCGCTTCCGAAAATGTCTCCAAATGTATGATTTTGAAGACGATTCGTTAACGTGTCAAAGTGCTTGATGCACGCAGACAAAACTCCATGCAAAAAGATCAGATTAGGAGCCAGCGTTCCAAAATCGCAGTTAACTACAATGCAGCATTCTGGTCCCCACAACTCCAGAGGTCCGTGCGTAAAAGTTGGTCACCTTGGATTTGCGCTGCGTGCGTACTTCTCTGGACACTCCACTGCAAAAAGTCAGATTGTTCGCATCCCAGTGCGATTCACTTGACTGCAAATAGAATGTGTCTTATTCAGGAGTCTCTCTCATCGATATGTCTGTTTGTCTGTCTGCGTCTCTGCTCCCTCTGTTGCTCCATCCACCGCTGGATCACGTTGCTCTCGCCCCTCACGCCGCTCCACGGTGGTTGCGTCTTGAGCAGTTTTATGCATCAAGTTAGACGGGAAAACGGAATCATACCGGAAATTGGGCGATATTGCTTTCAAAATAAGTAACGATCTCTGCTGAAACTGGGTCAAGACACCACCAGCAGAGAAATGAATGTGTGACAAAGACTACAGATGATAATAATAACAAGTAAGACACGTCTCATAAAAATTAATTAATACTACAAATACAGTAGTATTTGTATTTCTTTAATAGCGTGCATATTAACAATCCGAGGTGTTATTGTGAAAGTTCCTTTTGGAAGTGTGAGTCTTCGGGTGGCGAACTTGAATCTGGTCCTCAAGTTTGTGCCAAGGGGCCCGGTCCCTCTGCTCTAGAAGGCTGGGCTTACCACCTCCTTATTAGGAGCAAGGAGACCTGAGCTCCCATGGGTGCTCTTAAAGGCAAAGTTTTATTAATTTCTATTTGCATCAAGATAACTTAAAATGTAACAAACCTAATGAAATATTTTTCTCAAGTGATTATAAGATTAAATAAGTATTTATTTTAGACAGATACAGGAAAAATAATCCATTTACATTAGATCTAGTTGCTTTAGTCTGCCTATTTAATGAGACTTTTATTTTTGAAAATGCAAAGGGGAGAAAATGAAACATTTCTCCCTCTAATGTAAAAAAAATTAAGTGTATTACATCATCAGCAAATTCAGCTTAGTTTTTGAAGTTCCAAAAAGTCTTAGTGCTTTTTTAATCTGCTTGGATTATTGTGGGGAATGAAGGCCAGGGCTCGGCAAACTGGGCACAACCAAGAGAACAGGAGAATCTAGACAATCTCTAAATGACCACACTGAATGATTTAGTTTGGCTGCTACAGTTGTTCAGACACACATTAGGCAGCCAACCTGAAACAAATTCCAACGATAAATTCATAGATATGCTTTGCAGATCTTTAAAGATACCCTAAAGATATTTAAGATGTGTAACAACTCTCTGGATTTAACAATTTGTCCAGCATGGGTTTTTAGTTTGACCTGTTCAGCAAACAAAGCAGATCTCATTCTTCAGTGATAATGTAACAATGTGCGATATGAATATGCAAATAGAGGTGTTTAGCCTTCTGCTAACATAAGTTGCTAACCCACATGTCACAACAAGCTGATTTCTATCATGTTTGCTCAGAGTTCATTTGGATCACAAAGCGTATGAAAGATGTTGGAATCAAATTATAGTCGGATGGCCAGATAGCACATCGATACTTTGAATATCTAATAGTGTTAGCGGTATAATTACACCTTCAAGAACTGCTTGTGAAGTTCGAATGATTCATTATTACAACATTTTATCCACATTTCTGATATATAACATTATAACAAGTATTTCCTTTAAAACTGGCACAAGCACATGACTCTTTATAGTGACTAAGAGCGCTTCTTTTAAGTATAGGGAATCTAAGCATCGCTGATATGATTAACTTATGCCTTCCTATATCTCCGTTGTGTCCCATTTTGTCTTGAACTGAGAAGATCAATGACCAGCAGTCAAATCTGCACACATTCCTAGAGTAGACTGGGAATGTTTTCCAGGAGTACTTCATTTCTGGGTTATGGCATGGCTGGATCAAAGCCAGGGGTCATGGTAAGTTTCAGAGGAAGCAGGCATCCTGCTTGGTTATTCCTGGACTGTATGCATACACATACGAACTGTATATGTTTATGTAGCTATCTTTGAGGACACTCGCTGACACAATGCATTCCCTCAGCCTTCATGTTAGGTGTTAGGCAAGTAGTGGTTACGATTAAGGTTAAGTCTGCAGGAAATGATTGTAGGTCAATGTTAAGTCCCCATGAAGACTGAAAACAATGTGTGTGTGTGTGTGTGTGTGTGTGTGTGTGTGTGTGTGTGTGTGTGTGTGAAGGACAGAGATACAGAGAGAGAAAACCTGAAGGTCTGTCGGGTTTACACTACAGCTTTCTTTCAGCCCTCAACATTCCCAATATGCCAGAGAGTAAGGAGATGTCCTGTGTTGTGTGCACACTCGTGTGAGTGTTTGAGCAGGTGAAATCATGTAGAGCATGTCAGCAGCTTGCTCTGTGACACTGCAAGTCAAAGTTGTGTGATCTCATGGCCTCTATTTTTGTATCATTGCAAAATCAGGTGTAACACGAGGCAACATGATCGCAATTCATCCATCCATTATCTATATCTCCCAGCTGACACTGGGCGAGAAGCAGGGTCCACCCTAGACAGGTTGCCAGTCTATCAGGGCTGACAGAGACAAACAACCACCCCACACTCACTCCTACTGGCAGTTTAGAGTCGCCACTCAACCTAAGTTGCATGTCTTTGGAATGTGGGAGGAAGCTGGAGTACCCGGAGAGAACCCACGCAGGCACAGGGAGAACATGCAGACTCATGACAGAAAGGCCCCAGAACTTTCTTGCCATGAGGCGATGGTGCTAACCACTCCACCACCATGTTAATTAATGGCCTACTCTGGAGGTTGTCATACCCAAGCATAAAAAGTGTCTTATTTTCCTTTTGCTGTGGGAAATCCAGTGTTGTGACGTACACACAAATGCAGGATGAGTATAATGTGACCTCACCCAGCTGCACCTGCTCGTTCTGGTTTTGAAAGCAGCTCAAAACATTTGGCATGCACGTCTGTCGGATGTGTTTGTATGATTGTACATCAGACACATTCACTGACTTAGTAAGTGTGTTTAAGAAAAAGCATAGATGATGGTTTTAATGGGGTCCTAATTTCAGAAGCTGTAATTGGTTCAGACTAGCAAAGACAAGTGTCCCAGACCAAGCAGCCAGTACAGACGGAGTGAAAGAAGTCAGGCACATTTAGTTCAAAAGGAGGAATTGCTCATATTAAAGTTGGCATATCTGTCTGTCTGTGCCAGATCCTTTGAAGGCTGCATCTTTTTAGTCTCATTCATTCAACTTATTTGATTTAGTTTTTTTGACAGGGTCTGGTCTCTTTTCACTCTCCTCCTTTCGCTTCACTATTTCCCCTTTTCACTGTGCATGTGCTTCTGAATGAGTGTTAATTAACTCCGATATCCTGATCTAATTAATAAAGCGAATTTCTTTCCTCCTGTTTTGTTGCCAACTTCCTCTGTCAGCACAGCCAGTTGCAGAATGAGGCAAACAGCTGCTGTAAACTCATCACAGTTCAAGCCTAGGTCACAGATCTCTGCAGTTCATATTGCTGGTGTCTCGCCACGCGGCCTAAATCAGATCTGTAGTTACTTTTCTAGCAACGATTTTCCCTGATGAATCCCACAGAATCAATAGCAGAGAAGCCTTGGTTCTGGCTGCTAGACTTATTTACATTCTACCAACTGCTTTGGCAGGCAAACAGTTATTGGTTTTAAATTCTACTTTATTTACACTGGCAAGTATCATTTGAGGCCACGTGCAAAGGCAGTGAAGAAGACTGCAAGCTTGCAAACACTATTATGCACTAAAATAAATTATTAAAAACACACATGGCATTTGAGAAACATGAAATGTAAACATAGCTTTTTTTTCCTTGCAAGAAAACTCCACAGAGCATCTTCAGGTTATTTTGGTTTGTGGACACTCATCAAGATGGATTTGTGAATCTTTGGTTTTAAATTAAATACCATCCATTTGAAATTCAGTCGCTGAGTATTTTCAGAGGATCGTCCAAATTAACGGTGACAAAAACAGTTAATATGTTGTGTTCATGTTGCTTTAGGTTTATGATGTATCATGACTTTTGAAGGCTGATGCTGCTGCAGACATTTGCAGATCGCAGTCACAGGATTTTAGTACCAAAATTTAATAGAGTTCAATTGAACCATTTTTGTATTGGGAGAAACAGCAGTTAGACAAATTTTAAAATGCCGCCCATCTTTCACTGAAGCGCAGATTAATGACATTCGTTGGAGATTAGCAGTGGCAAAATGCAGACGCTCCCACCGGTTCAGTGGTTAGAGACACAAACAGGCAGTGTCTGACATACAGTTGGCCCTTCATGGTGCAGGTTATATATGCATGAAGAAAACATAATTATATAGCTGAGTAAAGAAAATAAAAGTTTATCCTGCAATGTTTAGACTTGCAGATGTCACCAAAGTGTGACACTGGCTGGTTTCTGTGGGAAAGGCATCAAAATTACATACGTATCTATTAGTAATGCAGTCCACAAATTTATGGCACAGAGTTGTGCAAACGTAAGTTGGTAAAGCTTGAATCAGTGAAGCTTTACTAACCCATATGGGCTGTCCTGGGCAGGGTATGTGGAGCTGAGAGGTGATCCAACAGCAGTTAGTGAGTTGAGGATGTGAATTAGCAAGTATATACAGTACTGTAGGATCCAGTACTGTAGTGGTACTTTCCAATTTAAAGTGAGAAGTGGATTTTGGAGTCCAACAGCTAATATAACTGTTGGAGACATCTGTACTGAGGTAAACAATAGAATAAGCACAGTGGAACCAGGCGAGAAACTTTGCCAAGTAGTGAGTAATAACTTATCTTGATTTGAATTTCACAGACTCATATTCCATTTTTGGTCTCATATTGTATTGAAACTGGTGATAATCCAAATCTAAGTGTGACTCAGAAAAACACAACTACACACTGGCATTGTTATGGCTCTGTGAATCAGCTCACAGCTTCCTTTTCAAAAAATGTTTTAATAGATGGAAAGCAAATTAGGGAGTACTGAGCCAAGGGAAAGCATGAGGGAGGAAGGGGGGTGGTTGAGGATGCTGTGAGGAGGGGAAAGGGGAGGGAGGGCAGAATCATGGCTGTATTGTTGTGTTTTCCCAATGTCAACAGCAGAGGAAGTGGAACGGCAGCTAAATATACAAACAGCACAATGAGGCAGCGAGTATGGAGCAGCTGTGGAACATGGCTGTCATGAGCTTCAGGGGTGTGAAACTCTGAGGACCCCCTTCTATTTATACACGAGTCCAGACAGTCAGCATGAGCTCACATACAGTCACACCTCTGAACTTTACAGTCTTCATAGTCTTTGAGTCCATCAAGGAGCCACTGGTTTCCATTCAG